TTTATCGTAGAATCTTCTTAATTAATTGGTTATTTTCCGTTAATCGATTATTTTCGATGTTTCAAAAATGATCGAATAATTGATTTTAAAGGAAATAATTCTTTTTTTTTTTGAAAAATCGATTTATCGATTATTCGACTTTTTAATTAATCGATTATTTTTGATTAATCGATTATTTTAGATTTTTCAAAGATTATCGAATAATCTGTTTCAATGGAAATACGAAAAAAAAAATAGAAATTAAAAATAATCGATTATTTAAAATAATTGGCTTTTTAATTAATCTATTTTTTTTTATTTTTTAAAGATAATCAACTGGTCTATTTTAAAGGAAATACGAACAAAAATAGATTGTTTGAAAATAATCGATTGATCGAAAATAATCGATTATTATTAATGATCAATAATTTATTTCGATAATCACCCACTCCTAGCGACCAAATGACTTTTAATAGGTTTAAATTTTAAAATGTTATCTTATTTCAGACATATACATTTCTAGAGTTTTATGTGACGCATCCTCTATATTAATTAATATTCCTAAAGAAACAAGCTTTAATATATCTTTTTCTGAGGTTATAATACAAAACAGCATTTTCTCATTTTGACTAAATTTTAATATTATGTGATAGTCGTAGAAAAAATATAATGTTCAACTCACAAGGTTTGATTTGTAGTATTCGCCTGCGCACATGCTTTTTTATAATACTCTTAGACAATGAGTACCATTTCTTACTCGATTAACAATATTCTATTTCAACATTTTACTGTAGTCTCTTACAGAAAAGTCCATAGTAAATAATAGCTAACGAAATATTCTATAAAAGGTCTTCTCTTTACATAAAATGTCGTGGCATCTGTTTGATATTAAAAAATCACGTTAAATAGTTCATTATGATGCTAATAAACAAAGTCCGGTCCCTGTCACAGAGTTCGAGTCCCTGCCCAGTTCCCCCACTCCGTTAACCTTTCTTTAGAAATTGGCAACATTTGCGCATGTTAAACACCAGTGTATGTTATATCTCTGGTCTCTTTTATCTAAGAGAATAACATAAAAACATGTGGGTCAGCGGCGTAACATAGGTATCTTTATTTCCACTAACAAGGATGTGAAGCATAATTAATAATAATAGATCATTCTACAAAAATATTCTATGGACAGATGAAACTACATTTACAAATTGTGGAATATTTAACACTACTACTCAAACACCAATTCTCATTTAATACAGCAGGTACGGCCTCAGGTACGATTTTCATTAAATTTATCGTGAGGCATAATTGGGGACCTAAGTTTATACAAGGAAATTTAAATGCTCAAAATTATATAAATTTATTAGAAGAAAGATTAGATATGCCATTACTGCTTCGAAGAAAAATGTGGTTTATGCAAGATGGTTGTGGGGCCCATAATGCCAACAGCGTAAGAAATTATTTAAATCAGCAATTTGGAAGGAAATGGATTGAAACAAAAGGCCCTATAAGATGGCCATCATGCTTGCCCTGCTTAAATCCAATGAATTATTTTGTTTGAGGATACCTAAAAAATTTAGTGTACTAAAATAAATCTGAAAATATCATTGAATTACGAGAAAAAGATAATCAAGTATTCAACGAAATTAATCCACACATGATTGCCAGGGCAACCAAACACATATGTAAAAATACACGACTTTATACTGAAAATTATGGTGGCCATTTTGAGCATTTTTTGTAAATTTGCTTGTTTGTGTAAATATTATTAGATCACTCTAGAATAGTTGTTTTATTTGTTACTCGCCTAAATAGTGATAAACCAGTCTACAATAATATTTTTTGGACAGGCAAAACTACCTTAATGAACTAGGGTATGTTAAATAAAAAAAATTAATCCTTATTAACCGCCAGCTCCCTTTAACACAACAGGTCTGGCTCAGGTACGATTGCTATTAAATTTTTGGCAGTAATGTAAGTAAAAAAGCATAATATGAATACAGGACTGTATTAAAACAATAAAATTTATAGTGACTTTGTTAAAGCAAAACTACTAATGTGTATTACATAGTTGAATTAAGTATTAAAAGTACTTTTTTAAAATAGAATAAAAAATACAGGTCCGTATTCAAAAAAATATACTTGAGGGTGGCCCTCCAGAAACGGAACGTTGTATAAAAAATATGTCTACGATAAATTAAGCGCTATTTAATACCGAATAAAAAATAAAATTACATTTTTTTTTAATTTGTAAAATAAAGGCAATATAATCTGAAATCGAAAATAGTCATTTGGTTTTCCTAAAATATCCTGGAAACCGGTCCTGATGTTCTCGGTTTTAAAACATCACTAAATTAGTTTTGAAATAGTACAACTTTTTTCCCATTTAACTGTTCAATATAAAAAGTAGCCAGCCTGTATATCACCTTAAAGTTATAGGATGGCTATGATGATGGCTTTATAAATCCGCAATCTCCTATTAAAAAAAAACAATTTTTTACACACTGATGTACCCATGCCTTTTATGCTTCAATACCTATTTTTGGTGTGTACATACCTAATTCCCACTATCCTTATTTAATAACAATATTAATAACTTAAGACGACTTAGAAACACTACCTAATTCAATATTAAATCAGAGAAAAAATCTCTCTAACCTCATTTAATTTCGGTTACTTTGTTATTATCGACAGGTCGATTTTAAATTATTTTATGACCCATTATTGTCACCAAAGTATATTGAAATATTCCATAACCTTTTCACGTATTCCTCTAACGATTTACGTGTGTAAAACTTTCACTTGCGAATTGAAAAGAAATTTTTTTTCGTGAAACATATTTTTGAGGCTGGTGAAATTAAAAGACGGCGCAAGTTATGATTATAAAGCAAGGATGATTTGGTGGGTGGATACAACAATTTAAATGGTTAATTTTGATTGATCTAAAAATGTGAATGATTCTTGGCGGAAAATGTGATGCAAATTTTTAGTTATTTTTATTTTATTTACTATCGAAGTGAGTGAAATGAAAGTCTTTCCAGCTACCAAGTATCTAGATAACGCCACAAAAGTGAGTTACAAAGTTCTAAAAAAGGGAACTAATAAATATAAAAAAAAATTAATTGAAAAACTAGCATAACTATTACCAAATATTTTTATGGGACTACAATTTAAAAAAAAAACAGGAATTGGTGCTAGAGGTGTATTAAATGTCTTCCACTTTTTTCCATACAAAATATTTAAGAGACTTCTAATGATTTCCTTCATATTTTCCTTTGTGTTTACGGGTTCAGTATTAACTGTGTTTGAAGTAGCCTCATAACTGGAAATCATACGAATCAAGTAATATTGTAAGGTGTGTTTTGTAATAGTACTACAGGGAGTCGATTCTTGACTTCTTACGAGCGCGAATAATAAACAATATTTTCATATCAATTTGCTTCTAAATGCCCAATTAAACGAATACATGAAGAATTTCTTAGAATACTGAAGACTTTTTCGTAAAAATTATTAAAAATTCCGATGTACAAAAAAGGCTTACCAAAATATGAGTGGCATGTTACGACGCTTTTGTCAAAAATAAGGCTAGATTAGATATCAGATTTAAAAGAAGTTTGAAATTATTTGTCCGTGTCTAGCGCGACCTTTTCAGATCTATTGTGGGACTCCATTTGTTTTAGAGTATGTCATCTAAGCTTGGACTTTTTTATTAGACTTGGTTTCCTTGACAGTGGCATCCACATGCATGTAGTTACATGTGTCTGGCTTTTCTTCATCTAGTATTAGAAACCTAAATCTAGTTAGGCTTTCACATTGGTGCAGGACGTGGATTGATGTTTCCTTTTCTTATTCACGGAACCCGAATAAATTTAAAAATAGTTTAATTTTGTAAAAGAAGTGAAAAATTACTTTTTAGAAGATACCTTGGGATATTCTACTTCTAGTACACAGCAACTACGGTTGCTTATTACATTGTTCTTAATTCTTTTTTGCAAAAAATAAAATGTATACGTGTATTTTATACGCAAAATATCGCCCTAAAGTGGTCGAATTCTCTGCAGCTTGCGCTAGTATCGCTTCTCTTCCCCTACCATAACTTCGCAGAAGTGAGCGATCTGATTCTTTAGCTATAAACTGTGGCATAGGAATCAAAATGGCCGCGCCACGGCACGCCCAACATAGAGCGCGGCCATTTTGAACCCTGTGACACAGTTTACAGCTAAAGAATCAGATGGCTCACTCTGCGTCGACACTTTGGATCTCAATGTTTCAGTTTATATACTGTGCAACTCGGATAATACAATATATGACAACCGCCTATAATAAAACAGCAGTCTTCTGCGTATTCTGAACACATACTTTGATTACTATACGAGGCAAGAGAGAGGTCCGACACGCCCAACATAGGGCGCGGCCATTTTGAACCCTGTGACACAGTTTACAGCTAAAGAATCAGATGGCTCACTCTGCGTCGACACTTTGGATCTCAATGTTTCAGTTTATACACTGTGCAACTCGGATAATACAATATATGACAACCACCTATAATAAAACAGCAGTCTTCTGCGTATCCTGAATTTGTATCCCTGTAGTGGATGTTATTTTGGAACTTTTAACTGGTCCGAGTTAGCTAACTGATTCTTTAGCAATAAACTGTGACTTCAAAAATAATATTCACTGACACTGACAGCAGCAAGCAAAATATCAGGTGCGTTTTAATCATCCGCTTCTGCTCTTTGCTTTCGGAATTGTCGGTTTAGTCGTTTTAACCTGTCAGATTAAAACAAGAAAACCGACAATTCCGAAGCAGAAGCGTATAATTAAAACGCACCTATTAAAAATATTGCGCTAAGATGTAGGCAACACGTAATAAGGGTTCAAAATGGCGGAGTTTTCTATCTCCTTTTTAAAGGCACTCAGAAAGCTGCGTAGTGCGACCATTCTTCGTATAGTAAAAGAAAATCAAAGTATGTGGGCCGCGCCCTATGTTGGGCTTGTCGGACCTCTCTCTTGCACCGTATAGTAATCAAAGTATGTGCTGAATATAGACTGAATTTTCTATCTAAATTCGGAATCTATTTACCAACCTTCAATTCTGACTTTGACATTTAAATTTCTTGTATTTTGTATTTTAGAAAGAATCGTTTTCTTTTTCATAAAAATTTCAGTAAAAATTGTTTAAACGTTCCTCATAATTTAAATTTATGTACAATTTTTAAGAAAACTGATGCGTAAATGATTCAGAATGAAAAGAACGGAAAGTCAAATTTTGAATATCAGAGAAAGTCAAAATCATGATTACATCTATGAGTTGCAGTCAAAGTTTCCCACTATCAACTTCAAGCGCTTGGTAAAAACTGAATCTACTTATAATGGGAGCAAACGGACTAAAACTATGGAAAGTGAAAACATTTTTATAGAAGGTCAGATAAAGAAAGCTTTAACTTCCGTTCATTTGCCCACGCAAGCCCAAATATTACGAAGAAAGTTCTTATACTTTTCACAAAACGAGTCTAAACATGAAATCTATAAATTCGATGACGCAAAAGAATTGACTGTAAAAGAAAGATTTGTCATTCACTATATAGGACATGCTACAATGTTAATACAAGTTTCTGGTTTCACTATTCTAACGGATCCAATTTTCTACGGCTTAGACAGATATTATCCAGAAAAAACGAAATCTTACCCATTCATCCAGTACTTGCCAAGGATAGACGTTATACTAATAACCCACAACCACAGAGATCACGTAGATAGAAGATCTTTACAAGAACTTTTAGAATTTTATAGAACAAAAATGTGGTCACAACCTAAGGTTTTGGTTCCAATGGGAGATAAGAAATTACTACAAACTTTTGGTTTCCTGTATATAACTGAGCTAGACTGGTTCTCTAGAATAACAATAAAAGGAAACAGAACTATTATAAATTTCGTTAGTATTCCAGCTGATCAAAAGTCTAGCAGGTACCAAATCAATCCCCACAAAAGTCTAGTTACTGGTTGGATAATCAATCCAGAAAAAGAGGATGTTATTTTCAAATACACTGGTGATACAAGATCTCTAAGTCTACCAACACAACTTGCTATTGATGCTTGTATTTACAACGAAATTACAAAGAAATCTTACAATATAGGTTCTCCTGAAGGAAACACTAATATTCCAAAAATAATATGTTTTGAACCAAGCGGTCCGAATTACACGCGATGCGCTGTTGAGGCAAATCACCAATCTTCTTCTTACAGCGCCCTTTTGAAGTTTATTGAAATTAGGAATCTTAGTACCATCAGCGGTATTCCTATCGATTCTTTCCTACCAAGGGTCAAGACAGTGATGTTCCACCACAATAAGTTCCAGCTAGGACCAGATAGATTTAATGAAGGTAAATTCGTAACTAAAAAGTTACTCAATTACCTACATCTAGATGACGATATTTTGAATAAAGAATATGAAAGACAGAAACGGAAGTTGGAGAAACATTTGGACAGAGAAAAGTTGAAAGACGCACTTCCGCTTCCATCTAGATCTGTTATTGCTAATTTACCGACTCACACGTCCATTTTAGTTCGTTCCAAAGATTTTATTATTCAAGATATTCAAACTGTACTGACTCAGTTTGACATGGATAGAGAAAAGTTACGAAAACTCTTGATTGGTTATTTGGTTAAGAATACAGTGTTTCCTATGATTGGAGAGCGGATGACTTACGAAGATCTGATGAAGGCAAGTTTTATTGATTGTGAAAAGTACGGTGGTGGTAATATGCAGAAAGAGTTAAAAATTGAAAATACTTTGTGAGATGTGGCATGTTTTCAGGTCATACAAATTAAACCAGTTTTTATTGTTGTGTTATTTATTGTTGAATTGTAAAAGATTAATAAAAGGTGTTTTATGTGTATCTTCTTATTTATTTATTGATTTTGGGTAGATACTGTCAGAATTTGTAAAAATTTTAGCATGTTTTTTTTGTCATTAAAGGCAACATTCTTATAGACCCCAAGTTTGCAGCTCTGAAGGGTAAGCAGTTAGAAGGAGTCAAAAGTAAGGATTGCTGAATTAATATTTTCGTGTACTATATTTGTATTTTTTTTTGCATTTTTCAAAATAAATCATACAGAATGTTCAAAAAATTAGGAATATAAGTTACTAAAATAAGGTGCATTTTCATGTCTAACCATAATTATAAATTATACCTAAGATGTTTGAGTAACATAACGGGATGTTCCACAAACATCTCTGTGAAACGTCTCTAATACGTTACAAATGATAATATGATCATTGCCATAAACATTCCAGGTACGTTTAACGGAGAATAGGAAACATGGCGGGGACGTTTCTAATGTCCCAAGTGTATGTTTCTGAAACGTTCGTCTAACGATAGTGTGCTAATAGGGAGTGATAGATTGATATCTCTTCTGTGATTGTTTTTATACAAAAATCAACATCTGCTTTTTAATTGGATTAAGTCTTCTGAATCATTCATTTAAATCAAAGAATATTTTAGGCATTCAAGTAAACGTAGAACGGGATTTAGTTAGAAAGAGAGCAATGGTAATACAAGCAAAATTATTTTCATTTTAAGACCCTTTTTACAATATTATAGTTATACCAACAAGAGTACGCATTATAGACGATGAAAAAATTAGATGGGCAATATCCAGCTTCTCTCCATTTAAATCGCCAAGACCAGACGGTATCTATCCAACCCTACTTCAGTGAGGTCTGGAAGAACTTACACCGCACCTGGTTGGTATATTCAGCTCCTCATTGGCTCTGAGGTATATTCCCAAGAAATGGAGAGAGGTAAAAGTGATATTCATACCCAAACCTGGAAGGATGGCATACACTATGCCATAATTATAATTCCTGATCAATTAGTCTGACATCGTTTTCTATGAAGACATTGGAAAGACTGCGAAAGGTACATAAGGGATTCGGTAATTACAACAACACCACTACACCCAAACCAACAAGCATACACCCTAGGCAGATCTAATGATTCAGTCCTTCAATTAGTTGCTGACCGGATAGAGAGATCCCTGGACAATAAGGAGTCTGCCTTGGGTGTTTTCATTGACACAAAAGATGCTTTTGATAAAACCTTCCCAAAGATAATACACTTACTAACCAACAGGAATGTTTCACAAATGGTTAGTTGGTGGATACATAACATGCTTTTAAAGCGAGCAGTAAACATAAGTGTTGAAGATGTGAATATGAACATGGTCCTCAACATCTTCATCAGCCGCCTCAATCATGACATTCCCCCTACACAATAGCATATGCAGATGATCAATTTTAAAAATAAATTCTGCAAAAGAATACAAGTAGCTCTCAAAATTATAGAACAGTAGTGCAAGGACCATTCACTGTCTATCATTCCTAAGAAAAGAGAAATGGTCCTTTTCACAAGGAAAAGGATGAAATTGAAATTAAAATCCCCAGAACTCCTAAACACAAAACTAATCTTTGCAACTGAGATGAAATATCTAGGTCTCACATTTGACAGCAAGTTAGCATGGAACTCGCATTTAGAAAAAAGAGTCAAAAAAGCATACATAGTTTATGAACAATGCCGCCTAACCTTGGGGCGCACCTGGGGTTTCTCTCCCAGTGTCGTTGCATGGACTTACACAACTATCATAAGACCTATGCTAACATACGGTATAGTTGTCTGGGTACCAAAAACCCAAAAAATAACAGCTATCTATAAACTAGAAGAAATTCAAAGAACAGCGTATCTGAACATAACAGGAGCCATGAAAACAACACCGACCAGAGCCAAGGAAGTTATTCATAGTCTAACTCCCCTTGTTATCTACATCATGGAGGTTGCTCTGACAACAATGACACGCGTCCGCACGGTTGGAATAGAACCTGATGTAGGATCTAGTGAAGTGAGACGTCACTTTTAGCAGGAAGTGTTCGATACTCTCAAGGTACGTTTACATCTGACACTTATTGCATGAGATTTATGTCTGACAGTTGTTTAGTCCAGTGTAAACACTCAAAAATATCTCTTCGAGAGAGGCGTTGACAATTTAATAATTTTAAAATCTTCTAATTATTCATTCCTTTCCAGATGTTGAAAAATCTTTCTAACATTTTACCGCAATGGAACGTATTTATCGGCTTTAAGAAAATTTCCAAGAAATTACTGCACACACTATTTACATACCGAATTATGTTAGGAGCCCAGCGTGAGTTATAATAACTCATTATTTATTTATTGATAATATTAATTGCTCAAAAGCAGTTGAATAATTAATATATAAATGAATAGGAGTAGATAAAGGTAAATTGTTAAATAAGTATGAAATAGTGCTTAAGTATTAATAAATTAATTAGTAATTGGTATAAATAAAGTATAAAAACTGTTTTAAATAAATATACTACTTTTAAATTAAAAAATCGTTTCAATACATTAATTAAATAAAACTGGTATTGATCATTCTGAATTGGACAAAACTGGTTCTGTACTATTCAAAATGTGCAAAACTAGTTCCAAGAACTTATTTTGTTATACTCAATAGCCGTACACAATTAAAATATCTACTTCTGAAAAAATGCGTTGCAGAAAACTAGTTTTTCAGCTTTTTTCGGAAATTGCTTGAATTCTCTAAGGATTATTTATGGGGGCGTCCATTAATTACGTGAGGTGTTCAAGAGGGGGAGGGGATAAAACTAAATCTTTCTAAATCTCACTTGGGGGGGAGGGGGGGTTTTCGTAAATCTCACGTAATTTTTTTTTCTACTAGAAAACGGTGTAAAATTGCGTGAAAGTAAAGTTAAATTATAGTGAAAGTATTTCTAGAATAAAATATGGAAAAATCTTATAATTATGTTTATTTAGTTTTTATTAATTTCCATTTAAGTAATTATCATTTAATTTTATTAATGTGATTTTAAATAATTGCAACACTCTCAAACACTAGTCTTTGCTAGTCTTAAATAAAAGTAATGGAACATATTGTGTTTTTGTTTTTTTTTTTAATAATTCAACACATTTACACCCAAAACACGAATTTTGAAAAATCTCACGTGAGATTAGGGAAGGGGGGGAGGGAGTTAAGGAAAATCTTACCAAATCTCGCCAGGAGGGGAGGGGGAGTCAAAAAATCCTCAAAAATACCTCACGTAATTAATGGACGCCCCCTATCTTAATATGTATAAATAATGAATAAATAACTTAAATTTAAAAAAATATATATATAAAAAAACATGAATATAATAATTACCAAATTGCCATTTAAGCGCTTAGATGATGTTATGATACGTGAGAACACTTTCATGGTTAATTTCCTGTGATTTGTTCAAAACCGTGAAAACGAGCGTAAAACCAAAAACAGTCTTAAGGTCATTGAATAATTAAGATCTGAAACTGAAATTACGCTCTTAGTACACATACATGTATTGTATCCTTCTTTAAACAATAAATTTTGATGTAGTAAATGGAACTGCGGTACGGTTTCAGTTATTGCAATTGTACTGGTTGGTGAGAGAAAGTAAACAATGAGAAATATTTTTAAGACAATAATGATACTGATTTGGAGTACGGAAAATAAAAAATCCCCATAGGAAATTATGAAAATGACACCCTCATATCCCCAAAGTGAAAACAATCCAAAGAAAAATTAAAAAAGTTTTTTTAGAAAATCTATATAAAAACTTAAGACAAAATAAATAAAAAATAAAAACCAGAGTCACAAAATAACCCCAGTAACCTTAAAATATTGCCCTTCTACCGCAAATTAATTACTAACTACAAAAAGTTTATATACACAATAAATAAAATATAATTTCTAAATAGAATTTGTGTAATTTCAACTGTTAAAATTACTTGAAAGTTCTTTCAAAATGGTCCATTTTCATATATATTTTTAACATCTGTTAAATTTAACATATTCGTTATAGAATTACCACTATTATCTAAAAGTTGTTTATGTGGTGTCACAAGAAAATGCCTCATGTCAATTCTGAAGTTGTCACACTTGTCACTTGTCGCGCTGTCAATTGTCACGGTCATAAATGATGGCATATGTTGTTAATGTTCAGAATTAAAATATTTCAATAAATCACTTCAGAGCTGTATCGTTTTTAATTTGAATATTTTGGCAAGTGATTTTATACTTATTTTTTTAGTGATTTAGTTATGTGGCGAAGTTTAACCGAACCAATTGTTTAATTTACCCAAAAAAATCGATTATTTATAGCATCCGCGTTCGTGTTTAAATGACGTAAGAAAATGTCACAAAGGTATCGAGTATAAACGCGGAGGTTACCCGATATACCTAATTTAAATTACAACGACCAAAAACAAAAGCAATTTTCCTTATTAGATAAAAGCAACAAGCATATTTATCATGTCTCAAAGAACAGGAACAAGTTATTCTATTCAAATTGTTCGGTGTAAAATCGTGCTGGAAGCCTTTTCTGGTCTTATCGATTCAACGTTGGGGGTTCGAGCTGTTAGCGGTACATCGAATATACAAGTGAATCGCATGTAATATGAAGGTATGTAATTATTCATTTCATTACATCAATATCTTAAAATTAATCCAGTATAGTTAGTCAAATTCCTATATTATGTAATATTCTTAGATCGAAGAGACCAGAGATGTAACATATTTACTTAATTTTTTCAAAGACTACACCCAGTATAATATTTTAGCATACAATTCCTTATAAATTTGCCTATTTAGCGATACTAACATGTTAGAGAATAACACATATATACAGGGTATTTATTAGCAACAGGTGTCACGGAACGCTTGCTGAAACCCTGATCCGAGGGTATATAGAATAGAGGAAGAAGACTCTATTTAGCCAATTCTTTTATTGTTATCCACGACATGAGCTTAGTTAACTGTCGCAAATAAAGTAAATTCAGCCAGTAAATTTAATAA